CTCCTGCCTCAGCCTCCTGAGTAGCTGGGATTACAGGCGTGCACCACCACGCCCGGCTAATTTTTGAATTTTTAGTAGAGACAGGGGTTTCACCATATCAGCCAAGCTGGTCTCCAGCTCCTGACCTCAGGTGATCTGCCTGCCTTTGCCTCCCAAAGTGCTGGAATTAAGAGGTGTGAGCCACCATGCCTGGCCCTAAAATTGTATTTTTAAAAAGACATGGTCTCTCGAACCCTTGAGCTCAAGGGATCCTATTGCCTCAGCCTCCCAAATAGCTGGGAGTACAGGTGTGCACCACCACACTCCGGCTCATCATTCTGTCATTATATTGCAGTTATTTCATGTGTCAGTGACTGAAAGTGAACATATGATAATCTTGTGAACACAGAGTTTCATGGTGGAAAGAAAACTACATTCTATACCTCATTCCTTCTTCAGTACAAGCGTCTGCAGGAAAAGGGGAAAAAAGAGGCGGGATCATCTATTATTCAACAAATTTCAACGTCACCCTGCCCATCTGGATCTAGTCTCCCTCATTAAATGCAAAGGATGCTGCCACCTGGCTCCTCTCCCTAGCAGTATTCACATCATCTAGGCTAGAGAATCCCTTCCCTTTGGCCCGTTTTGCACAAAACCGAGTAAACGTTTTCAAAGTATAAATACGCAAAATCATTTGCTATCTCTTTACTATTTACGATGCGCATAGGTGTTACTGAAAGTTTTGGAGCCTTGACGGATGAAGTATGGGATGCTGAGGATCGGGGAATGTATCTAAACTCTCAAGTTCTGTCCTATTCAAAAAACTCCCTTCTAAAAGTATTTTTACGGTATGTAGGGTTTTACAGGAACAAAATCTCTACTTAATAACAGCGGATCCCCTTTTATTATCTTTGTGCCTACCTGGATGCACGGTTCCAGGATGTTCTCGTCACTAACCACAAGTCCACCAGAGGGCGCTGGTTCCCCGTCTATCTACTGTTCTCCATCAGCGACTCAGAAAATCCAGGTTAAACACTCAGGCAGTCTTTCACATTTAATCCACAAATATTTACCAAGAATTTGCCGTGCCACCTGGCTCGGGGCTAGGTTCACAAGATACAGTAGTGAGTTAGGCACGATTCCTACTACCAGAAGCTTAGAGCATAGGAAAGACAAAGTAAGCAACTGTCTACAATAGTGGGATAAGTGAAGAGTTTCCAGGTCTGTGGAGTTTGTTGTTGAAATATCAGCTCCAGGCCTTAGAAGCCGGCAGCAATTCATTAAGAGATCCCGGACTTGTTTCTGCTCTGTATCCCGGACAAGGAGCTCCGTCCCCAAGGTGTTTTGTTAGAGCCAGAGACCTCTCCTTGGTTGACTCCATTCGTCAGCCCCACAAGTCCCTGTCTCTGGTCTTTTTCACGGTTTCCGGCAGCTCTCTGACAGTTCCCCTTCTGCCCCAGGTCGACACTTAGGCCAAGGACCAGGGATTACTCACAACTATCCGCCAGAGCTGGCTCCGCCCTTTCTTTTTCCTGTTTAAAATCCGCGGGCTCTTAGTGTTCTCAGTTCGTAGAGTTCCTGTTCTGATTCTCGCGACAGTTGCGAGGCCACGCGTGAAGTTCCCTTCCAGTCCCTCTTTCGAATTTGAGACCAGGAGAGAGTGTCTGCCCTTGCCCCCCTCCTCAGAACCCCTCTCGCCAGGGATGGCGCCTACGTGGCTCGGGAGCCCCTGAATGAATGGGGTTGGCCCAACTCAGGGGCGCTCTCCGAAAGGAGAGTGCCGGTTGGATTCCAGGGCTCCAGTGCGCATGCGGAGTCGATCCCGCGCAGGCGGGCGGGCACCACAGCGAGGCCTTGTGGGCGGAGCCTGGCTAAGTGCCGCCCCC